TACAAGAGCTCGTTCTAGGACAGGCTCCAAAGCTACAGAGAAACCCTGTCTGGGAAAAAAAAAAAGTAAACCTCCATTTGGACTGGGGATGTAACTCAATGGTAGAGTACTGCCTAGCATTCAAGCTGGGCTCCACCAGAATACTTAAAGCTTGTTACTTCCATCATACTTATTAGAAGCTACCTATCTTTGTAAATGCCAGGTAGCTGTGATTTCATACAGTCCTCTCATTTAAGAGACTAAATAGCTAAGCATGCCATTAAAAGTGATGAGTCACAATCAAAATCCAGACTGTTCTGACTCCAAACCCTAGTGACATGCTCAGTGTCCTCTTTGAAAGCACTTTCTGCTCTCTATGAATTTAACTTGAAAGTTAGAATTCAGCATATTTATGTAAACAATAATTTCCAAAGTAAGCAGATTTTCAGATCTTAAGTAAGTCTGTCATAATTGAGGTTTGTGAGCTGAAACACCAAAATCAATCATTTGAAAAATAGTTATCATCATACAAGAAACCATTACTTGAAAATCTAGGTCAAAGTTAAGCTTTAAGCTACCTATGAGCACACACAGTAATACAAACCTTAGCTTTGACCAACAACTAAGATCTACTGCAACACTGTTCAAAGAGGCCTTGAAGCACTTGTATTCATATAAAAATTGCCTGCTGTATAAATAATAAATACTATAATAAACTCATATAAAAAATCCAACAAAACTACAAATAATACTGCATTTTATTTAGAATGAGGCTTTAGTATATAATTTTAGAATGTGTATGTCATCTAAAAATACTGTATTATTGTATAACTTGTAAACCCTCATGAACTATAATCTACAGGTGTGAATCTGGACAAAAACCTGCAGTAGAAAACACATGGGAGGGCTTCTTCAGCTCCCCATACCAATCTTCTTTCCTTTGGAGTACTAGGGACTGAACTGAGGCCTCACATACAATAAAGAAGTGGCCTATCTATCTCCCCAGTTCTTTATTTTTTGATAGGAATTCACTTAAATTTACCCAGGCAGGTCTTAAACTTGTGACTCTCCCACCTTGCCCTCCTAAGTGGCTCAGACTACATGCCTGGTAACCCATATTAAACCTTAAGGGTACTGCAAATATTAAACTCCAATTCAAGTGCCACAACCTTACATAGCAAAGCAAATAATTTGCAGTAGTGGTTTTTGTTCTGAATGTTGTTCATGTTTATATTTTTGAGACAGTGTCTCATGTATTCATTTGGCTTCAACTTGCCACACAGTGGATGCCTTGAACTTCTGATCATCCTGCCCCCACCTCCAAAGAACTTAGAGTACAGGTTTGGGTACCAAAGTTCCAGGGCTGGGGATTGAAACCAGAACTTCATGTCAGACAAGCACTTCATAAACCACACTTTCAGTCCCCATTCCTTTTTGGTATTTAAAAGTTTAACAAGTCAGGAGTTGAGACACCCACATTATTTCAGTCATGAGGCTAAGAGAGGAGGATCATAAATCTGAGGATAGTCTGGGCTGCATATGGAGAACATCTAAAATCTAAAAACTAACAATTTTAAGAGAATTTTCGTCTATTTTAAATAATCTTCCCTGAAGAATATACATTTGTCAACTTATAAAACTTGTATTTAGCCAGGTAGTGGTGGCGCATGCTTTTAATCTCAGCACTCAGGAGGCAGAGGCAGGCGGATCATTGTGAGTTCGAGGCCAGCCTGGTCTACAAGAGCTAGTTCCAGGACAGGCTCCAAAGCTACAGAGAAACCCTGTTTTGAAAAACAAACAACAACAACAAAAAATACCACCAAAAAACTTTACATTAAAATGGCATGTCTTATCTACTAATAGAGTGTTTTGAACAGGTGGTTGGAAAAGCAGGAAATTCAACAGAGTCAGGGTCAGTGGCCTTCCTTACTTTTCCACTTGTTTTTTTAAAGGAGATGACTGGAGACTGGCTCAGTAGGAGAAAATTCGCAAGCTTACAAGACCCTGTATTTGAATATCCTGGAGACAAAACCTCCCTTAAGCGATCCCTGATCATCTGAACAAAAACAAGTATGGAGTTTACAGCTAGGAAAGTCATGCTATGGGAATAGGTAACAGACTCAAGAAAATTGAAGAAAAAATATGAAGAACTACATTTTTTTAAGTATTATCTGTTAAACATGTGATTTACCAGACATAGCCAACATAAAAGAGTTTGTTCGGCCATGCAGTGGTGGCTGGCTGAACCTTTAATCTCAGTACTGGGAAGGCAGAGGCAGGTGATCTCTGAGTTCAAGGACAGCCTCGCCTACAAACCAAGTTCCAGGGGATGCTCCAAAGCGAGAGAAACCCTTTCCCGATTGAGAGACAGGAAGATGCCACTAGATTCAGTAGAATAAAATAAACTCAGCAGGACAGAGCGCATACAACGGCTATAAAACAATAAAAAAGGAGTTGGTGCTTGCCAGAGAGGCTGAGGTGAGATTCCCTGCGCCATTCATGGCCAGCCTGGACTAGAGTCCTGTTCCACCAACCAAATGTTAGATCAAGGGATGACATATTACAGCTCTTTGGTAGAACACTGCAAACCACTCCACATACTCCTCTCCCCAAAAGCAAACCACTAATACTGAAAAGAATCTAAGCTGCGCGAGAACACATTAACAACCTAAGTAAGTCACTTCGAAATTCTTTTTTTTTTTTCCTGGTTTTTTCAAGACAGGGTTTCTCTGGATAGCTTTGGAGTCTGTCTTGGAACTTGCTCTGTAGACCAGGCTGGCCTTGAACTCACAGAGATCCACCCACTTGGGATTAAAGTGTTGGGTGCTGGGATTAAAGGTGTGCCCCACCTCCACCCGGCTAGAAATCTTAATACACTTCCATCACATCCATTGCAGACGTCACTAACTAGTCTCTACACTTAATCTGCCAGTATCGGAAAATGTGTTCTTTTACGAAAACTTGGCCCTCAAAATTGAATTCTAAAAAGCTAAAAGCTCATTTTTGACCCACTGGAATTTTGAAAACAAAGATAGCTACTTTTTTAGTATCATTTAAAGTTGAAATCAGACATCTCTAAATTAAGGGATTAAAAAGCTTCTAGTAGCCGGGCGATGATGGCGCACACCTTTAATCCCAGCACTAGGGAGGCAGAGGCAGGCAGATCTCTGGGAGTCTGAGACCAGCCTGGTCTACAAGAGCTAGCTCCAGGACAGGCTCCAAAGCCACAGAGAACCCCTGTCTCAAAAAACCAAAAAAAAAAAAAAAAAAGCTTCTAGTTTGATAAACAGTAGCTATTTGTAATTTTCTGAGAAACTAGCATACACACACACACACAACTAATAAAAAATTTCAGAAGCCCTATATATAAGAAACATAGGGCCAGGCTGTGGTGGTGCACACCTTTGATCCCAGCACTCGGGAGGCAGAGACAGGTGAATCTCTGTGAGTTCGAGGCCAGCCTGGTCTATAAGACCAGGACAGGCTCCAAAGCTAGAGAAACGCTGCTGGGGGAGGGGGGATGAAATATACGTTAATTTAAACACTAGAAAAAATATCATCACATTAGCTCTGTCCAAAACATATCAAGGTAGAAGTCTCCAGGAGTGAGATAATGAAAGGGAAATGAAAACAGATCCCTTGAACTCGAGGATCAGATCACTGTGGGTGATGTTTACCATACATACAGTAAACCAAAGGGAAGGAGTGAAGAACCTGAAGAATCTTTTTTTTCCTTCCAAGACAAGGTGTCACTAAGTGGTTCTGGTTGTCCTGGAACTCACTATTCAAACCAGGCTGGCGTCAAACTCACAAAGATCCACCTGCCCCGGTCTCCCAGAGTGAATCCCAAGTGCTGGGGTTGAAGGCTTGGACCTAGTAGTGAACTCTTGAAAAAGGAAGTTTTAAATGTACTGTGTGTGGTATACAGAAGAAATAATTGTTTCCTAAATACCCAAGTCTAGCAAAGAGAAAAACCTAATATTCTATGAAGAAACCCAGAATGTCCCAGCTTCCTGACTTAACAGCAGAGGCGCGTGCGCGCCTGTGTGTGTGTAATACATGTATAATACACACAGACAAATGACACCATGAAATGTGTGTGTATAATACATGTAAAATACACACATAGACAAATGACACCATGAAAAGCAGTTTTTTCCATCCCAAATCCAACTACGATATAAAATAACATTAAAATAGTAAATTGCTTTGATATACAATAATACTGAAATAGTAAAATGCTAACTACATATACCGTCCATTGGAAGAAGCTCTTAAATTACTCTTTCAGTAAGTTTCAAAAGAAGCCGGTAAGGAGGCCTGACTTTGTAAACACACTGCAGAGCTCCCTATGTATGGTCGTCCTGGCATCTCCCTCTTTGTTTCCTGTTATTTAAGGAGTATGGAAAAGTTTACACACTACATACAAAAAACATGAGCATTCCTGCCTATGACCTTCCTCCTCCATAAAACAGGAGTGAAACTTGAGCCATCTGTAAAGACTTGATAGTCTAAAAATTTGTTATCAATTGTCATTTGGTTCTTTCTCATTTGGACAAGTCAACACTTGAATTTAGGGCTGGGGTGAAGCTCAGTGGTACACCTTCTGCAGTGGTACACTTTACTGAAAGGTAAAATTCCATACCTGCCTGTGTTGCCAGAGCACACAAGGGAAACAAAACATAGAGATCATGTTTGTTCCTTTAAAACAACTATTTTGAGTTATTTGAATAGTTGAAGTGTGGGTAAGTTATTGTCGTTTAGTTCAAGTTTTACAGAACATCTATTTTCATAAACGCTTTTATCTATTTAGTAAACTACCTATATTTAGTAAACTTTTAGGAGGAAAAGAAATAAAAACGGGGTCAAGAAAGCCTAAAGACTTCCTAAACATCCTTCGCTGAGATAATTAAAGAGAACCGGCTCAGAAACCCCTCCTGTTCTGCCTTCACACACTGGCGCACAGCCCAAACCGAGGCTCCAGCCCTTAGGGCGGGCGGCCGCTCGCACTGGACTCTCACCTCCTGGATGCGCTTCCTCGCCCGCTGAAGCACCTCTTCGTAGCCCTTCTGCCGCAGCTCGCTGAGGCTTTCGTAATACTCCTCGGGGTCGTCGGTCTCGGTGAAGAGCACCTGGGACAGGATCTTCCAGCCGCACGTGTCCAGGCCGTGGCCCAGGTAGACCTGGAGCTGGTAACACAGAGCGTCGATCTCCTGCTCGGTCATCTCGGGGGCGCCCCCGAACAGCACCGTCCACATGCCTGATGGCTCTTCGGGGAACACCGGCAAACACGGCTCCAGCTGTGAGTTCACCGAGCACAGCTGCTGGTGCACGGCCCGCAGATCCTGGAAGGAGAAGAGCCCGGCCCAACTGCACTCTTCAGCCGGTGACTCCAGCTCCGCGGCGGACGGCGGCCGCTCCGCGTCGGGGTGCGGCGGTGGCGCCTCATCCTCCCTCACCATTTCCAGCACCTCGATCTCCTCGGAGACCGCCCCGCAGGCACTCATCACCCGCACCGACGACACCGGGGGCGCCGGCGAGGCTGGCGTGGCAGCAGCGGCCGCATCCCGGGATTCCAAGCCTCTGCGAAGCGGGCTGGCCTTGGTCCGCGCGGGACTACGGAGGGGACTCTCCGGTCCTTTGCCGGCCGGACCCCGGAGAGGATTCCCCCTCGGGCTGCGCGCGCTGCGCGGAGAGCCACCCTCGGCCCAGGCCGGGCTCTTCCGCGGCCCGGGGCTCCGGAGTGCCGTGGCAGAGGCAGCGGCCTCGGGTCGGCCCCGGGTCGCCGGGCTGCCGGGCCCGCGACTCCCATCTGGCGCAGGAGTCCCCGCCTGTTCCCGGGAACCGCTCCTCTGCCTCTGGGCCGTCCGGTTGTGGCAGGTTATGGCAAACTTGCCTTCGATCTCGTTCCAGGCCACAATGAACACGAACTTGTGCTTCTCGCGCTCGTCGAATACATGGGGCCGCACGGCCACCCAGTCGGACTCGAGCGTCTCCTCCAGCGCGAACGACATGGTAGCTCCAGTGACCGGCCGAGGAGGGCCGCCCGGCCGAGTCTCCGCGGTGGCCGCGCCCCCAGCTCACCCTTGCCGGGCGCCTTCAGCCATCTTAGCGCTCCGGCCGCTCTCCCACCGCCTCCTTTGTGGCGCGACTCTCCGAAGAGACAATACGCGGCCCGGAGCAGGTAGTTCACATAGTCACGTGCGGCCGGATCTGTTTACAAGCCGCTCGCTGCGGCAGTGCGGGGCCCAGGGCCGCCGGGCCGGCCTGCGTGAGGCCGCGGGAGCTGCGTGATGTGATGCGCCGAGGCGCGCGTCCGCGCTCGCCGGGGCCGATCGCCCCGCCGCCGCTCTGCCTCCCGCCGACCGCGCCGAGCCAGCCGGAACCAGAGAGCCGACTCCTAAACTCTGCGTCTCAGCATCGCCACAATGTTGCCATTCGGCTGTGACGTCGGCGGCTCCACGAGGGACGTAAACACGGGCACGTGCAGCACGCTGCTGACGCGGCGGTGGCGGCGGCGCGCGGCGGGCCCGCGCGGCGGCGCCCCACCCCTCCGCGTCCCCTAGCAGCGCCTGCGCGCGGCCGCGCGCCTGGCCCGAGTCCCGCTTCCTCCTTCCCGGCTGGGAGCTTCCTTGCAAACCGGTTGTTTTCCTGGGAGGCACAGGTGAGCTTGGACCCTGGGCATGAGGAGCAAAGGCAGAGACTTTCCAGGGACACTCACGTGACATTGGCTTCCCTTAGCCCAAGGAATCTGGATGGACACCTGTGTTCAGAAAGTACCCAGTAAACAGGACGGGAACTCCGCCTGTCAAGGCTAAACCAAACAGTTCGCTTCTCCCCCTCGCACCATTAAGATAAAATTTTAGACCAGTATCGGAAGACAACCCAGTGGGACACTAGAACAACAGGAAAATTCAGTCTAAGAGTATGAACGTTCATCTCAATATATCCGTCTTTTATTGCTTCAACTTTCATAATTTGTGTACTGTTCTGAGAACTTCTTTGAGCAGACACTGGGATAAAGACGTCTTGAAGTTGTTTTCAGTTATCCGAGTTCCCTCAGAGCGCAAACAACAGAAAGTTTTATGAGTCCGACCTGGCAGCACTGACCACAATCCCTACACTTGTCGAGTAGCTTCAACAGCAGTTGGGAATTCAAGGCCACCCTAGGTTAAAAAAGGTCTTACTTCATAAAAACCTAATTATTGATATGAAACTATGATAAAACATTCCTAACCTACTAGGTTTATAATCCTGTTTGTATTGTTGGTGTTATCTTAATTCCTGTCAATGGTCAAGTCATCTGCATAATGGGAATTAACTTTAGGCCACATTTCTTAAACTTGTGTGAAACCACTGGAGCTGGGCTGTGGTGGCACACTCAAGAGGCAGAGGCAGGAGAATCTCTGTAAATCAAGGCTGCCTGGTCTACAGACCGAGTTCCAGGACAGGCTCCAAAGCTTGAAACAGAGAGAAACAATAATAATAATAATAATAATAATAATAATAATAATAATAATAATAATAAATAAAACCATCTGGATTACCCTCACTTTGTCATCTACAATCAGCTTTGTATTTTCCTGACATCTAAATTAATAGTCAGAAGTTTTAGCCCCCGGTCACTTGGCTGAACATTCTAGACCTTACACATTTGCTTTGAAACTCATACCTCCAACCAAATTTAAAAGTAAAGAAGCATTAAAAAAAAGTTGAAAATGACTTCAGCCCGGAACAGTTTTTTGTATGAAACTGTGTATTTTCAACACGTGTATGTGCATTTTCAAAACATACCTTTGAAAGAGGGTTAGGTGTGATGGCCTATTCCCTTAATTCCAGAACTCTGGAGAAGAAGACAGAGCTCTGAGAGTTCAAAGGCAATCTGGTCTACAGAGACAGCTCCAGGCTAGCTAAATGCTGCCTGGGGTGAAAGAAAAAAAAAAAAAAGGTCTGGGATATAACTCAATGCTAGTGTGCTTAGGAAGCATGCATGAAGTCATGAAGTCTTCAGTCCAATCTCCAGCGACATAAAAAATAAATAAATCAATGCTGAAGAAAAGAAAACCTGCTGCAAATTAGTCTCCAGTGATGCAAATGATAATGTACTATAGGAAATTGTTCATTTTGATAGAAAGACAACTGCTAAATTTTCTTCTGATACAGTTACTGACAGGATCACCAACTCTCTTTGTTCAGAACATTTTATATATAAGTATGAATCTGGAGAATACAAGCTAAGTATGTTTAGAAGAAACCTCTGCCAGGCTCTGTGGCTCATACCTATAATCCCATTATTTGGGAGGCTGGCACAGGAGGATTACCTCCTGTAGCCAGCCTGAGCTACAGAGTTAGATCCTGTCTTATACAAAACAAAACATTTTATGTATACTTATTAACTGTGATATTTATCTACTGCTATAAAATTGCATCCTATCACAAACGAGCAAGGGGAAAAAAATGGGTTCATGGCTGCAGAGGTTTTGAGTATTTTCTCCTAACACTCTGGCCATTGTGCTTTTTCCAAAGAGAAGTCTCAATGTTTCATGTTACCTCTATCTTAATCATTGTTCTCCTAGAAATGAAAAGAGACAGACCAAATTCCCATGGCAGGTTACTATAGGACGCTAGAGTTCTTTATTTAGGTCTGTATCTGATTGTCAAGTGTGTAAATCACTCCCTGGGAATAAGCAAAGCACAGAAAAAGCACATACACCATACCAACTTTGAAAAGGCTTTGAAAACTGTTGAGGATTGTTTGGTGATCTGAGAAATACTTTAACACTTCAGGCCTTTTAATAGAAATTTGAGAGATTTAATTGTGACTTTAAGAAGCAGGGCATTTCCGCACACGGTCTGTTCATCCTTAGAGTGCCATGCGGTGTGGGTATGAAAGGAATGGCTAACTTTAACTTTGCACATGAGAAAACAGAATCTCTGGATAGCTGGGGTTAGACCCAAGGGTGGGGGAGTGAATGACAAGTTCAGGAAGTGGGCTCTAAATCCACGGCCAGCCCTGCTGGATTTTCCCAGAAACAGACTCCAAAACGAAGCAAGGAATATAAAGCTTAGGAGAACGGTGGCGGTGTGTGTGTGTGTGTGTGTGTGTGTGTGTGTGTGTGTGTGTGTAAGTAACACATAAAAGACAAGAGCCGGAGGGTGAAGTTGATGAACTCCAGACAAAGATTCTATCTTTCAACTCTGGTGGAAATGGTTAAGCCTTGAGAGGAGATGACAACTTGAAGTTGACTCAGAAGACCCTAACTGCTGGGTGTTGTCGGTTTGCCATGTCTTACAGCTGGGGTCAACCTTTGCTGGTGCTTGGTTCATTTTGAGTCAGAGTCACACTGTTTAAACTGGGACTGGTCTTGAACTCACGCACCTCCTACCTCAACCTTCTGAGATTATGGATGCTTACCACCATATATTTATCCAGTAGCTGTGAGGAAATGGGTCTTCCATTTACTTATTTACCTAGTTATTTATTATTGAGATGGGGTAGCCCTGTATAGTCTCACTGTGAACTCACCATGTAGACCAGGCTAATCACAAACTCACAGAGATCTACCCGCCTCTGCCTCCCAAGTGCTGGGATTAAAAGGATTTAATTCACACATCTTTGTATCTATTATAGTACAGTTTGCCCTGTGAGCCACGTGGCTCCATCTCCTAAAAGCATTTGGGGAGCTGCTCTTCCAGGGATGTGGTGAGCCTCTTTTTTTTTTTTTAGAAGAAACATAAAAGAGAATGGTCAGGACGATTCACAGAATCTGTGACTTCAATGGCTTTCGTGGCCATGTCTAACTTACTCTCTCCTGCATTCTGCAATCCAGAGCCCCCGTTCCCCTGTTGACATCAGCCGCTCACCTGGTACGATGTCCCAAATCCTTATTTTTGGGAGGTCTAAATCCTGGTAATTTTATTCCTATATCATCACCATATATGTTATAATTAAGCTGGCATGGTGGCATATGCCTGCAGTCTTAGCACTTGGCAGGTGGATCAGGAGTTTCAGGTCACCCTCAACTACATAGTAAATTTGAGACCAGTCTAAGCTACATGAGACCCTATTTCACAAAACAAATCCAAAGCAAAAAACAAACAAACAAACAAAAAACCTACCAGGGCTCAAGGCTCCCCCCCCCCCCCGTGCCCTGTGCATCTCCATATGTATTCCTACCTGCACCCATCAATCTCTTGCCTCCTGCTGCTCATGGTCAATGAGATCTTAGGAGATACTGATTCTTTTTTGGTTTGTTTCATTTTTTTTTTTTTTGAGACAGGGTTTCTCTGTAGCTTTTAACTTGTGCCCATTCTCATGTCCTTGCACCTAACTTCTTGTCTCTAATATTCTAATTTTCTCTTTCCAAGCTCCTGATCACTCATCACTGTCTATTAATCTCTACACAGTTTGACTCTGTGTTTCTCCTTTCACACTGTGGACCAACAGCTGGATGTGCTTCCCTGCCTGCTGGGAAGGCATCTTTCACACAGTTACTCATCCCTTCATTCATGATCATCCCTTGATTTACTTCAAGAGTTTGATGTAAACAGCATCTAATTCACCTACTTAAGATACCCTAATGCACTCAGATTGTACCAGTTCTGAGCAAATTCTCCAGCAGATGGATATGGGACTACCACATGGTCCAGTGGCCACATGTTCCACTGACGTCCATGTTGGAGAATATGTAGTCATGGGCAATAGCAATGACGCCATGATTCCATCTTCTCTCTCCTTTCTCTTACCTCCCTCAATTTGATTTTCATTAGTTTTATTTTGAAAGAAGAACTAGCTATGATTTCCAAGATGACCTTGAGCCTGCCATCCTTCTGCCTTAGCCTCTGCACAACACTTGGCACCGTTTATGTCTTAAAAACCTGAAAACAACACAGCAGAGCATTCCTCTCCCTAGCACACCATCTCAACTCACCAGCAGCGAACACTTCAGAAATGCAACTATCGTCTCATGAATATTCAGTCTGCGTGTATGTATGTGCCCCTTTTGTGCCTGGTACCCAAGGAGGCCCGAAAAGGGAAGAGGTTCCCCTGGAATGAGAGTTATAAATGGTTATAAGTTGCCATGTGAATGTTAGTAGCCAAACTCTAGCCTCTTGAAGAGAAGCAATTACTCAACAATTGAGCCACCTATTTTGGC